TCGGCCGAATCCAAGTTCGCAGGTTTCCCCTTCCAATGGACGACTAGCCTTAGCTCCATGATTTTGGTTAGTTAGTTATTAGTAAAGACCGCGCCATAGCTCAAACGGTTAGTCGCTGGCTTCCCACCGCGGCGGCCTGGGTTCGATCCCGGGTCTGGTCAAGTGGGATTTATGGTGGAGAAAATGGCGCTGGGGCGGGTTTTCTCTGAGTATTTCGGTTTCCCCTGCCAATTTTCATTCCACCAAATTCTCCATCATCATAATCACTCGGGGCAGGCTACAATAGGAAAAATCAGTTGCCGCCGTGCCGAGTGGACCCAGTTGGACTCCACCCCCCCACCCCCCAAAACGAAAAATTAATTATTAGTATGTAGTTAGAGTACTAAGGGCATGAACGTTCATGTTACACATGCTTCTTATTACTTGAATTTGTAATATATCTCTAAGTTTTTATATGTATACTATTAATGTAAATAGCATTTAAAAATTCCTAAGCAACAGAAAACACACCGCTTCTCCATCACAAAAATTAATGGATTAATGCCTTTCAGGGAAATCATCGTTAACTGTGTTAAGAGTCATGCGAAAGTTACAAACACTCTGCCGGTAAGGCAAGAGCTTTTTAATTTACACGAAGTAACACTTTGCCTTAAAGTCGGAAGGTACTCAGAGTAATTATCCTGTATAATAAATCTCACTTGCGAAGTTTGGGTCTTTCTTTCGCAATATTTCTTTCGGTAATCTCGTTTCACTCCCAGACGCACGCCCAGACACGACTTCGATACAGTTACGCCGGGAATGCTATTGGAGCAAAGTTCAAGATGGCGGGATCCTTAAAACGTCACACACACAGGTGTTAAAGGAGATGTAGGGAAAACTAGGAGTATATTGAATGATTTTAAGAGAATCCAACGGAACGGCCTTCAAAATACCGAAACATTATGGAGAAAGGCTCTGTTTCCAGAACATGCGGGCGATATCTTTTTGAGCATACGTATACAAAGCGGACCAATTCGTGCCTGTGGTATCTGCCTTGTTAATGTGTCTGTGCTACTGATTTGAGTGTGACGGCTCACTCAGCGCAAATACTTGCTACGGACTGGATGGCGTTATACTGTCCTTGCGGGGAAGAGATTTGAGTCCTTGCTATCGCATGAAGACTGACTTTGCGACACGGAGTCCACCAACACCCTTCCACTCTCCAACCAGTGAATGTCTGGGGCTCTGGATGTAAGGAGGCCTCAGTGTGAAGTTGACCGTTCACTTCCATCTAGTGTAGAGCTTACGAATGCGTGGAGTTTAGCTCCTGTACCACTTGCGTCTTCATGACGCAGTGCTTCAGCACTTTACTACTCTCCATATTGATTTGTGTAAATCAAGCATGAACAGCGACTGGTGTTACGTGGATATATGTTGCATTACGATTATTATTGTTATAATTATTATTGATCTTAACACGCATAAGTGAGTAGCGTTATGCTTCAACTGCTGACATGGTTAACTGCTCTATTTAAAATTTTCTGTATCGGACAAGTATTCCATTCCAAGATAAATTTTTCGAATCTCGGGCGGCCTATTGCGTGTCACAATTTCCCTGTAAGGATTCCTCCCGCCAGTTTTCATTTCTCACGGTTTTCTGCACCCTATTGGGGATCATCAATGTGGGTTTCGACATAACAGATCAACTACTGATCAGATTTCGCCTTCATCAGATACTACAGAAAAGTGGGTGTACAATGAGACAGTACATCAGGTATTCATAGACTTCAAGGTAGGCTAGGGTTCAGTTAGGAAGTACTGTGCAATGTTCTCATAGAGTTTAGGGTACTCATGAAAATAGCTAGGCTGATTAAAATGTGCTTAAATGAAATATATAGGAACATCTTTCATGGGTAAATATTTGTCTGTTAATTTTCATATAAAAGTGGTCTAAAACAAAGATATACTTTATTTTCACTGCTTTTCAACTTTGCTTTATGCCATTACGAAGGTTCAGGAAAACCAGGTGGGACTGAAATGAAATGGAACACATCAGCTGCTTGTATATGCTGATGATATGAATCTACTAGGGGATAACATAGATACCATAAAGAAAAAAACAGAAACTTTGACACTAGGAAGAATGCTGGTCTAGTAGTAAAAGCAGATAAAACTAAGTATATGTCGCTGCCCCGTGACCAGAATGCAAGGAAAAATCATGACATGGTAGATAACAGAACCTTTGAAAATGTGTCACAGTTCAAATATTTGGGAACGACAGTAACAAATCAAAGTTGGATTCAGGAAGAAATTAAGAGGAGACTGATTTCGGTTAATGCTTGCTACCTTTCAATCCATAACCTTTCTTTCTTCTCTTCTGCTGTCTAAAAGCTTAAAAAGTAGAATATACAATGTTATAAGTTTGCCTGTGGTTTTATGTGGGTGTGGAACTTGGTCTCTGACGTTATGGGAGGAACATAGACTGAGAGTGTTTGAGAACAGGGTGCTGAGGAGAACTTGTATTTGAACCGAAGAGAGATGAAGTGACAGAAGGTTGAAGAAAGCTGCATAATGTGGAGCTTGTCAACATGTACGCTATACCAATTGTAACTAGAATGATGAAATAAAGGAGGATGAGATGGGCAGGGCATGAAGCACGCATGAGGGAGGAGAGGAATGCATATAGGATATTGGTGGAAACCCAGAAGGAAAGGGACCACTAGGATAATATTAAAATGGATCTTAGAAAGATAGGATTTGGTGTTATGGGCTGGATTGATTTGGCTCAGGATATGGACGAGTGGAGGGCTCTTGTGAACACGGTAATGAACCTTCGGGTTCCATAAAATGCTGGGAAGTTCGTGAGCAGCTGCACAACTTGCGCTTCCTCATGAAGGGCTCAGCTCCATGAAGTCAGTTAGTTAGTTACCAGATACTCTTCGTTCCTCATTACATCCTTTATGTTCTCACTCCAGATTTGTTGCCAACTGTCCCTTCTCCGGCTTCGTGCTGGATTCCATTCCAAAGCCTATGGATATTGCGTGTTCAGCGACTGGAATTGTGTGAAGAGACGCACCTACGGGGCCCTGTAACCGGACTCTTCAGAGCTGACTTCTTCCAGCTGTAAGGTGAAACTGAGGCGTTAGGATCGTAACTGCGAACATTCCGAATGCAAGATGCGAACATCGTAATCAAGAGAAATGCATAACTGTTCTTTAGAGCCAGTAAAAGCTTGCCGTATTGGCATTTAATTTTAGTCACGGCACTGATGATGTCGTTTATAAAGTTCGTTAAATTCCCTACATATTTTCTGCACCGAAATTTAAGATTATCTTCATTTACGTTACTTTGAAAGATATATAATGCAACAATTTGGAAAGAGGCTATCATCATTTTGTTCTTAATTCATTTAAAGTTGCTGTAAATAACTCAGGTTATAGCATCGAATAATTAGTTTATTAATAAATAATGAATTCAGAGAATGTGAATGGAAGCTGTCTGGTCTAATCTACTTAAGGTAGTATCTCAGCATTTGTCTGGAGGAACTGAGGAGGACCACGTAAAATCATAGTCATTACAGTCCCTGTGCCAGCTTAGATTCATACCGAACTCCTCCTGAATGCAAGTCACGAGCGTCATTTCTTACGCCTGATAGCTCTTTGGCAGTTTCAGTGCTCACCCGGTGTTCAAACAGACGGACCGAGGCACGCACAGACACGACAGTCGGGATTGCCGCCGACCCAAACGAAATGCGGAATGTCATCTCCCGAACATAAGCCTAGACTGATGCTGCTTCTCCAGTTCTTTTGGTTTATGCTGCACTAACTACCACTGTTATATTATAATTATTAATAATAATAAAAATAGTAATAAAACACTACTACTACTACTACTACTACTAATACTACTACTACTGTAATAATTCAATTCAATTCTTTAATATTTATATGCCGAGTCAACAGCCGCAAGGTCAATTACAGATAGAGCACAGTGTAGATACAAGTAATTACATAATGGATAAACACAATTTTTTCCTTGGCACTACAGCCCTAGTGGGCCTAGGCCTACCTCCATGAACTCCGTTCACTGCGGGTTTTCTAGATCTTACACATTCGGTAGGACTCCTTGGGCGGATGATCAGCTCGTCGCAAGGCCTCTATCTGTAGACAAACACAGGAAAACGCACACAAACATCCATGCCCTGAGTGGGATTCGAACCCACGATCCCGGCTTCCGAGCGAACGAAGACAGTGAATGCCTTAGACCGCTCGGCTACCGTGACCGGCATGGACAAACACAATACAAAGTCAAAAACAAATTACCAGCAAGCGCTGGGGAAAACACAATAATGCAGAAAAGTAAACAAACAAACAAATGATAATAATAGCAATAATAATAATAATAATAATTTCATTAACATAAATCTAAGTGTTATTAAGAACTCAGAAATGAAACACATAAATATTTAATTAAGAAATGAAAAGTATAGATTTTCAGAGAGGATAATAATAATAATAATAATAATAATAATAATAATAATACTAGCACTGCTATTACTTGTGGAGCCGGGATAGCTCACTCGGTATAACTACTGGCTACGGGCTGGACGACCGAGGGGTCAGATTTCGAGTCCCAGTTGTGTCACGAATTTTCTCTTCTCCACATTAACAAGACCGGCTTTAAGGCTGACCCAGCCTCCACTCCAATGGGTACCCCCCTGTACCCTTCTTCCCCCTGGTAAAATGGCCGGGGCGTGAAGCTGACGCTTCACCTCCAACTAGAGTCGAGGTCAAGAAAACCCCAATATGCCTTTATTAATTAATTAAGCAAAGGACAGCATTATTTTTTTTACTGGTGTTACTAGTAATGTTTGTGCGTTCTTTTAGAACATTGATGCGTACGCGGCGATCAAATTGGGCAGATCTGTGGGGAAGCGCTGTGCCTACGGTTCCCATTGTTGTGCATGTGAGCGAGCGTGCGCTCAGGCCGCGTCTGCGTGTTGCAGGTCCCCCTAACCGCCGAGGCGCTGCGTTCAGTTGCCGGTTGCTGATAGAAGCCGCTGCATCTCGGGACAGTTGCTTCGTAAGTGAGATTCTTCAATGACTGTAGGTTAAACCCACACGTTACAAAGTCCCGATTTTGTATCTAATTACATAACTCTCTTAAGAAATATGTTACAGGCATATTTTAAACTTCAAGGAAAGTTATAAACTTTTTACCGGTTAGGTTATTTTCGTTGAAGTTCTCTGATACAGACGAAATTATTGAAAGTGCATATTTTTTTTCGGTGGTGATACATAATTCCTCGATCATTGCATGACGAAATAGGATTACGTGAAGTCAGTGGCAATTCCTCAGCGTCTGCATGAGTAGAGCTAGGTCAAGAAACGCATACTCTTATTATTATTAAGAACTTATGTGTAAATATTTCTATAGAATAATTTACAGCTTGTAGGGTGTAGTATGTTATTTTTCCTTAGAATTTTACATTAGCCATCAATGCTATAAACTGATGTTCCGTTGTTTCGATCCCTAACAATGTTCTGAAATTTGAACGCCTGCGTGTAATGGCTGGGAACTATAAGTTCGAAATAAATTACAATGCAAAACATCTGACCCATTAGACTTGTAGGGCAGATATTTAGTTCGGTAGTGGCATTCACATTTCAAGGGACGTCTGTAGTGTGCAAACATTTTGAGTACGCTCTTCGGTAATGGCTTTCGTGAGGCTTTGAAATATCATTGACATGCCAGTAGTGCGGTGATGTTCTCTTGTTCTGGCGTAGGACTTTATTATCCTGAGCGTGTTGCAAATTAAACTGCCCGACTGAAAAAAAAAATGATTCAATGAAATTTAAATTACTAACAACATTGGAGAAAGGCAGGATAGGAATTCTAAAATTGTATAAAAATATGTGTACATATACAGCGATTCGTTTACAGGTCATGGTGCGGATATAAAAAAAAATCAGGGAAATGTTATTAAAATTGTTACTCTGATTTTATTTTGGCAGCCGAAAATAATGCACACAAATTTGAAGTCCATGCTTGAAGTGCTTGAAAACTTTCAAACCGTCTTCGGTAAATGCTACTGAAATTTCTTCACTAAAATTAAAATTTCGTAATCATTTAATTTAACTATATTCGCTAAAGTACACAAGAATTTCGGTTAAAAGTAACAAAATTAGACCTGTTTTCTTTTTTACAAACTTTCATGGGTTTTAGATCATGATAGGGATACATAAGAAGCGGATTGTACCTAGTCAAACGAAGCTGCCATACAACTGAGGCCCATTCAACTGAGTAGTTCCCGCTGTGCAAACAAGTGACTATCGCATATGAACAAACGTTCGTACTAACAGCCCCACATCTGCTCTATTCATACGCTCCATTATTTCAGTCTGTATACATAACTCAGTGTGTTGTAATATAATTTTCTGACAAGTTATGTCATAAATTCCTATTTTTTGATTAAAATTTTTTTGTTTGGATTACGCAATACTAAATATTAATCTTAAAACATGCTAAAAGACGTATCTTATTTTTACCTTCTTTGACAGAATACACAAATCGTAAGCAGTTTCGCAGTGTGCTGGATCGACATGTTTAATCGAAATACATGTTTAAGTTTCGATGAAGATAGTGGCGCCATTTGCTTTGAGGTGTAATAGAGACTTTCAAATCGCACATCAATTTTAAAATTATGCGGTCCCACTGCCAACAGTTGCATCAAGGATAGAAGAACACATTCTAAATGGAGGGAGAGTACTTCAACGAATATCAGGTAAGTAGCATGTTTCATATAAATAAGTAACATTCTGTACTTTGTTTAAAACTTATACGCATCTGCTGATGAGTTGAGGGTTATGAAGTTGACGCCTTAATGCCCAGTATTCCTTCGATTGAAGGGAATAGGAGTATGTGGAGTGTTTTAATCCATTTAGATGTTGACTTTCAGAGTATAAATTGGAAGTCCCAGTACGAATAAACAAAAAAGAAAATAAACAATTTTTTATTCTCTCGATGTTTTGCTAAAAGTTTGTGATTAAGAACATAATCGCAGATTAATCAGTGGTTATATATCGGTATATATTAGCATTATGAACATTACCGGAGACAAAATATTTTGTAAGTTATTATAAATGTTTCATATGCGAGCCCTGTACTTACTGTCATCACGTGTCTCCACTGTATCTGTTAACGTTATCTGCCTATGATCTCAACAGACATACGACAAAGTCTTTATGCATAAGGACCGATAATTTAACAATCGTAAGATTTGAGGCTTTCACGGCGGTGATTATGAAGAAAGCAGTCTTCTGGGATTTGGCACCGTGTATATGTGGTGTTAACCGACGTTTCGGAGGAACGTATCGCCTCCATATTCAGGGTAGAAGAAAAATATAAGAAATCTGCAAGCGAAGAGACCGTGAGAACCGGTAAAAGCAGACTCAGTCTGCTTTTACCGGTTCTCACGGTCTCTTCGCTTGCAGATTTCTTATATTTTTCTTCTACCCTGAATATGGAGGCGATACGTTCCTCCGAAACGTCGGTTAACACCACATATACACGGTGCCAAATCCCAGAAGACTGCTTTCTTCAATTTAACAATCGTCTGTATACAAAGAGTGTGAAACCGGATGGTTATACGCCATCAGTAGTGTGACGGAGAAGTTCAGGATACGCATTTTATCTTTAGATTAAGCATGAACCCCGAACCTCCCGCCGTAACAAAGAACGCGTAACGATGTTGAATGGGTACTTTCGAACGGCCTGAATAGCGCAAAACGGATATGCGACTGTAATATCAGAAGCATGTATAGGTCAGTTTGATTCGAAAAGATACAAAATAAGTTAGGAAAATATAAATTAAGTGTAATGGGATCATAGGCTGTCAGATGGCACAAGGGTGGTGCTGAACCAGCATAAGATTAGGTTCATATACTTTTCTACCGAAATATGAATTATCACTGACATGTTTATAAATGAGGTAGTGATATTAACAGTTAAGAGCGTGGAGTTTGTTATTAATAAGTATGACAATTTTACTAAATGTGCGTCTCCAATAGACAATATATATTTTGAAACAAATAATTACGAATAAGAATTTACAGGAATGTACGAGTATTAGTGATAATGGGGTTATAGTAATACTTCCTGTTGCACCGCAAAATCTAATTGTCCTAAAGTAAGATAGTTCCTGATATATTGGGTTTTCGTACTTTATCCATCGTCCTGGTTTTTAAGATAACTAATAAAAACACGACGTTTCAGAAACTGGATCTGTTTCCGAAACGTCGTGTTTTTATTAGTTATCTTAAAAACCAGGACGATGGATAAAGTCCGAAAATCCAATATATCAGTGTGTTATACGCCATCGACAGAATCCTATAGTAACTAAGATAGTTCCTTCACCGAATCATTCATGAATACTCTTGGACTCATCGGGATTAGAAAATGCCGTCATTTGTTCTATTCATTTATTTATTGTTTACTTAAAGACACTGTCAGTTGTACAGATTGTGTCACTCTGAATAACAGGATGATTATTGAATAATGGATTGAAGATTAAGTGGAATGAAGTGGTAGTGGCTGATTTGAAGCAACATCTAAGTAATTCCTAGAGGTGCTGAGGAAAACCATGAAAATCCTCAGACAAGGTAGCCAGTGTTCGGAGGCGAGGTTTGCACTGTGGGCGTCTAGAATAACAAGTAGGAGTAATAGCCACTCGACCGCTACGTACGTGTACAGTTCGACACGCACTTCACAGGGAGGTCTGTAAGCAACTGAGCAAAGCGAGGGTTTGATGGGGAGCGATTCGCTGTAGAGAAATTTAATGATGTATAAATTATAGACGGGTATGAGGTTGGAATCTCAAGGGGGTCCGTAGCTTGAGGGAGATGGGGGGATATGTTTACGTCAGTTCGGCCTGGAAAATATTTCGGAAGATATTAAAACTTCAACCAAGAAAAGTCTACGAGATAAAGCAGCACAAAGTATGATGTGGCGAGTAATATTCAAAATTATTTATGCACTGTAAGGGTTGCAGAAACCGGGCCAAAAGAATGAATACAATTCGAGGAAAGTGAGACGTGACTGTAGGTAGACACATTTCAGAAACAAGAAATGGAATGTAAGAAAAGCGAATGAATGTATTGACATAAGGAGTAAGAGAAAGGCTGTTATGGACGTGTATATACCGAACAGGTCAGTATAGCGGCAATGCTCTAGACTTATGCTCGATTAAGTCTCGACCGGGCAGCGGCTATACTTAGATTTCTTTGTGATTTTACTCAGTTCCTCCAGGAACATACCAGATAACACCGCAATCATACCACGAAAGCTGCCGTCGATAGCCATTCATACTTCTTACTAATCACTCTACTATCATTCAGGGCCAGATACTAACAACGCCGAAAAATAAGCCATGAAATCTGGACTTGTATAGCGGCGTGGATTAATTTAACAAAATTACCAGCTTAGAACTAACTTAGTAAGAATTTTGATTAGGTGGGAGAATGGCTGCCCACAGTTACTAAGTGCACATAAGGTACTATGCTACAATCCGGAAAGTCGCGGGTTCGTTTCCCAATGAACTCTTTGGATTTTTCAATTTACTTAAACTTTCCAGCCGCACTATGGCCCTGGGGACTACTCAGCCTCTGATAGAACTGAGTACCAGGAATCTTTCTGTGTGTAAAGGGCAGCTGGCGCGTAAGGCTGACAATCTCACCGCTATCTCTGAGCTGATTGTCTAAAGAAAAGGTAGTAGCCTCGACGTCTCACAAACCTATGGACCTCCACAGTCGGTTACTCTGAGAGATTCAGCTTTCTTTTACAAGGGGCGAATGAGGTTAGCCAGACGGAGCGATAAGTACCGAAGTCTAGATCATTATCTTCTTCTTCTTCTTCTGCAAGGGCACAGGTTATTGGTCTGTTTCCACTTCAATAGAACATGTCCTCCCATCTAGCTATAGGTTGTCCGATATTTCGATATCCTCTGGTTGTATAATTAATAATATCATTCGGAGTGTATCTGTTGTCATTCTTAAAGATATGTTCATATCAGTTTTTATTTTGCCTTTATATTCTCTCAGTTAATTGAATATTTGTAATTCTAAACGTATGTCTGGATCGTTAGGGTTGAATTTCCTATTGAAAATTTGCATAGGATAGAAACTGCCAGTTCTTATCAAATCCCAGGAGAGAATAATTCCAGAAGGAAGTAGAACTCTGTTCTATGGTAGCTAAATCTTTTAATTTTAGTTGGAATGAAAAAGAATTTACGCAGCAATGCAGGGGTCTATTACTGTACCTACTTGCAAAATGGGGCTAGAAAACTGACTAGTAATTATCAAGGTATGACGGCGGTTATTTCGGTAACAGTATTATTATTATTATTATTATTATTATTATTATTATTGGAGGGGGTGGGCTTCCCCATGCACCGCGACCAGTTGTCGGAAACAGTAAGTCGTAATATGAAGAATCCTTGTCCCATGAGAGTATATATTTTTTTATTGCTAGTGGGGTCGGACTAAGTCCCTTGTACTGCGGCCACATCTGGCCTATTGTACCAGCCCCAGATGATAGGTGAGGGTGATTGTGGAGCAATTGGTGGAATGAAGATTGGCAAGGGAAACCGAAGTACTCGGAGAAAACCTACCCAGCGCCACTTTGTCCATCACAAATCCCACTTGTCCAGACCTGGGGTCGAACCCGGTCCGCCGCGGTGGGAAGCCAGCGACTAACCGCTTGAGCTAGGCCGCTGCCCTATGAAAGTATGTAAGGGGATGAATGCGGAAATGAGGGATTTGCCGTCCTCCACGTGGCATCGAAATGAATGGTAACGCCCTCTTTGAGTGCCTTCTTCCAGTGCCTCTGAAGAGAAAACTTGGATTTCGTAATGGATGTTTGCTCCTTCGTAGTTTGTATGCGGATGCGCACTTTAACCTATGTATTTTATAGTTACTTCAATTATATACACGAAGTATATGTGGCATATAGTGTGGATTAGATTGCCATTGAAGCCTGCTGGAATTCTGCAAGACCTGTTATTGACGGCGTAACGACATATGCCAACTTTAACACAGAACTGAAGAAATTCACATAATTTCATGAAAACTGTCAGATTATTAGTTATCGAAAATATTTAAATTGAATGTGTTACCTACTTGAAGATCATCAAGAATTAAGAACTTTAAGATATCGTCGCAGAATTCGCACCATTCGAATGAGGAAGCCACTCATCTCTTGCGACAGCAAAACCCAATTGTGAGATCTGAACTGTGTACTTGTTGCACGGAAGACACTTGTTACACTCATGTTAACTTCTCTCCAAAAGAACTCTAGTGCTCTTGTAATTCACAAACCATAATGTTAAACATGCCGGTCACAGTAGTCGCGTGGTCTAAGATATGAAATATTTTCGCTTGCTCGGACGCTGGGATCGTGGGTTTCAATCCCAGTCAGGGCACGGATATTTGGTATGTGTATGCATTTATTCTGTGTTTAGGTAGCGGCCTTGCGACGGGCTGATCGGTCATCCAGACTGTCCTGCTGTCTGTGAAAAACGATTACGGAACTGAATAAGAGGCCGGGCCCTGAATGGGATGGAAGAGCCATTGAAAAATAATGTTTACATACATATTTCTTGTCAGAGAGCGGGACAAACCGTCTCCAGCAGAACAAGGGAGTGTCACAGTTTCATTCAGTTCTAAAGTGCGTTCCACTTGGAACGTTTGTTCCTTGCTTGGTACAAAAGCCGCGCCAGCAAAATGGAGG